TTTATCTGGAATATTTCAAGCAGAAAAAAATTAGCTATGCGCTAGACTGAAGAAACGTGGTTGAATGAGTTGTTGAACACGTGTTTGCCGTTTGTCGGAAATGCGTCATACCCGTCATACCTGTAATTGTTATGCACGTTTTGTTTGCACGTTTGTTTGCGTGTCTGCACGTTTTGTTTGCACGTTTGTTTGAGTGTCTGCACGTTTTGTTTTTTCCGAGAGCGGTTCAGATTTGACTTCCACTGTACCGTTACAATGGCTCACGTTTACGGAAGTAAAAAATTGAATTCATTTTCTGCTGGTATGAAAATATCGCAATGCATGTCAATATCATGATCAAAGGTAATTTTGCTCTACCAAAGCACCAGTCACTGGGAAGCATCGCAATCTCAGAACTGGGAAAAAGCAGAGATTTCGACACAACCAAAACAGGGCTAGATATATTCTCGCATACCGTCGCATGTTTCTTCAGTTTAAGAATTTCATAAAATCCTCGCACTATCCGTGAGGTGATTGGGCAGGAGAATTCGAAAGCAATTAATGTAAGGAATCAGTAATGCACACAGCACAGTCCCACGAGTAGATATAATTGAAATATAGTATATATACGACTTAAAATAGGGAAAAGCTGGCACAATTTTTGAATAATTCCTTCGTAAAAGCCCCGAGGCTCAGTTTTGGTCTGGACTATATACAGGCATAAATCTAGTAAATTAATGGGGCTGCGTTTGAAGTAAAATCGTAAATAATCAGACATGTAAATTAAGTCTATTTTGCACAGGTAAATGTTTACAGGGATATGACATTCAGTGATACATTTTCCAAAATATTGTTAACGATGACATGATTGAGGAATATTTATGCGGAAAAATTAGCTATGCAGGACACTAGACTGAAGAAAAGTGGTTGAATGAGTTCGGTTGAACAAGTGTTTGCTGTTTGTCGGAAATAGCGTCATATCCTCTGCGTCATACCTGTAATTGTTATTCAGCTTATTTGTTTATCATCTCGTACAGGAATATATATAGGGGCAAAGAAACCTCTAATTTAAAAACGACAAACCTCGGTAGAGTGTTCACTTGGTATTTTCACTGAATTTTTATTACATAATATCGAGGTAAGTGTGTTTCGAATACAAGATTTATTTTTAAAGCTTATATTCCTCATTAGACATTAAGCCCATTTTACTGCGCGCGAACAAATTCACCTAGTGGGAATGGGCTTAAGGCCGTTCGGCGTTGATCATTTTCTTCTCATGCACGGGCTGACTCTTCTAATCTTCCAAACCTTGAAATCGTCCGAGTTATCATTTGGTATCTCTTATAATCTTATATATCTAAGAATAGCCTTTTCAAAAAGCGCTCGCGATTCTTGATATAGGTATTTGGACTTCTTTAATTAAGTGCCTATAATTATTTGGGCGTTTGGATTTTCGGTTTTGGCGGGCTATTTTTTAGATCGGTTTATTGGTATTCACAGGTACAAAAAACTGCGCGGTTTTTCCGTTTTAGCGCATGTCTTCTTCTATATATAATATTAATATATAAATTTAGATAGACATAAGCATTCTAAGAGTTTTCTATTAAAACTGTTTGCAATTTTAACTTCGACATATTTCATTCTGGTGAACCGAGTAACATAGAACTACATTCCTTCAACATTGACTGTAACTTTATGTACTATTAAAAAACACGAGCAGGGAGTGCTTTCTTGGAAATTATAAAACTCGAAGCGACAGCCGACAGTTTTATATATGATAAAGCACGTACCGAGAGTGTTTTAAACGACCCATATCTGATGAGTTCATTAGCGAAGTAATTTTAAAACTAATCGTTGTCTAAGCCGAGAAAATCAAAGCTTATAAAGTTTATGTAAATGAACATGTTTTTTTTATCACATATCCTTTGTCTTTTCTTTATGAATATTATCGAGTTTTTAAAATCATTTTAATTTTTAGCGTGAACCAAAATGAAATTTGCTTGTGGAATTGTGTTGTTGGTTGTTATTTACACAACCACTGCAAGATTCGTGCCGTTTGAAGATGTTCGAGATGTTGAGGTAAAAGAGAACTTTCACCCTCCCTGCATTGATTGGCTAATGGTCGCTTTAAAATCTGAACCTTTATAATAAAACGTGTATACGGTATTTACTCGTTTAAATATGGCGCTTATTTGAAGGCGGCGCTTTTTCGAGGGCGGCGCTCTTAATCTTTATATTTTTTTTTTGTAAGCGCTAACATGAAATATTCGCAACCAAATATAACAGAAAAAACACTGAAATGTAGGAGAAAAACGTTCTAAGGCTTGTTAAAGATTGCAACCTCGTAACCAGGGCGTTTTCCTTCCGCGGTTGGGTGTCGCAAACCATTTTTCAGACGGTGCTTCGATTAGGCGCCGCGTTGGGTTGTGATAAGTGCGGCGCTTAATTCGGGAGCGGCGCTCAATCGGCGCTTAAACGAGTAAATACGATATCTAAACTGGTTTTTTTTAGACTGAGGATTTTGTAAAGGCAGGTGAACGCTTTCTAGAGCTGTTACAAAAGAAAATCTCTGAGCAAGATGCAAGATTTAAAAAGATTGAAGAAATACTAAATACTAGTAAGTCCCAGATGTAAGATGGTCTTTATTAGGGCAATTTTATGTTTCCAAACGCAACAATGATTTAAGGTTTATGGTCTCTCTCCTCCGCAGAGGCTTTAGTTTTCTTAGGATTTAATATTACGAGATACATTTCACTACACTTTACATGGCGGATCTTGGAACACGAGCGTAGCCGCTGGGCGAAGGAGCGCAGGGGTGCCCTCCAGTTGTTTCTTGTTTTAGTAATACGGCTATAAAAATCGTTCAGGAAAGTCTGTCCGAAGGGCTCATAAAACTCCATAAAACGCGCACCTTCGGGGTGGCAAAATGCGAGATTTGAGAGGGCAGTCAATAGAGAGGACTTTATGAATTTCTTCTTTTAAAATGGGTTGGAGCTTATTAGAGAGAGACTCCATAGGGGATTTACGTTAACTTTACAAGTTATAATTCTATTTTATTTCAGCCACGTTAAGTTATGGTTCAAAATTAAACCCCGGTCTTGTAAAGATATCCAGGCAAGAGATAAACTCGTAGTATCAGGAACGTACTGGATCCGGCCTGCAGCCAATAAGTTATTTCAAGTTTACTGTGACATGGAAACTCACGGGGGAGGCTGGACCTTGGTTTACAGCTACACCTTTACAAATTACGACAATTTTAATTCACCAAGCAATGCCGTAACCCCCCGTCCAACCTGGCCTGGCGATAGGCTCAATGTCCCAATCTCAACCACTCCTCCACTCAGTGAGTCATCTCTTGGGGCTCTAGACTGGAATCTTTGGAAGAACATTGGAAACGAGTTCATGGTCAAGTCAAACATTAATGATTGGCTTGTTTGTCAACCAGATGGTGGAAGTATGGTCACAGACACACGTGGGTCAATCACATGTCAGAATATAAAGAACGTGGCAACAGCTTGTAGTGGCGCGGTACCATACCTAATTCAATGGTCCCGTCTTGGACCGATATTGAGAGCCTCCAGTACATATTATTTCTTTGATGGATCCACAGATGGTTTCACCCCAATAAACAATCCTTGTGGGATAGTGAAAGATGGTACAGACTCACATCACAAGAAAGGAGTTTCCAACCCTGGTGGACAAATCTATATTCGCTAGAAGTCCAACCTTTACGATGGCAATTGTTTATTTTTAACTCGTACATTTGATTTATAGACTTTCTAGAATACTTAGCATATAGCTTCTTTGCATAATCACTACTCCGTAGATCTTATAGCACTACATATAATCTACTGAAGGTAAATGCTACTGTAAACCATTTGTGATCAGAATAGTGTAATTGCATATTAAAGATTGTACAAGCAAACGTGGACACGTGGTAACAAATAGTTTATGGAAAATACGTTTTATTTTTTGCAGTGTATCACGTGCATCACGTGTTTACTCCAATGTTTTGTACAGTTTCGTATGTATAGAATTTCGTTACTTTTGCATCCGGAATGTTTAAAATGTTTGCTAATGTACCTCCAGATGCAATAGATAAGTGCATGAAATATTTTCGTGACGATCTAACGCTTGTCTTAGAGGACGTGCAGTGTTTCATGATTTCTATTTCAGAACCAGAGATATGAAGATGTGTCCTCCAAGACAGACGCTCATTAATAGCCGTCAAGAAAATATTTCGTGCAGTCAAGCAACCTCGCCCCTCTTGTGGAGCCTGGGAACGAGGTTGGCAGTCAAGTTTGATAGGCCTCGCTACCAATCCCCGTTCGCTCTATACCTCGATGGGTAGTCTGGAAACCCGAAAATGCGAGTTGGATCCGATCGAGACAATGAATTTTTCAATAGACAACTTCCCAGTCTGATAGCGAGTAGCAGAGTAGCATTATTTACGAAATTTAATACGCGAGAATGGCCCTTAATGGACCATTTGCATTATAGACTAAATTTTGATCTAGACAAAAATTTCATCACAGCTTGAAAGAGCATCACAAAATTAGTAATATTCCAAAGTTTCGTTGCGAAATGTTGTAAAATGTGAATATAGCCATGCGAAGTTTTCCGTTTTTCAGTCATTTTGTATTACGCACGGGAAATTGACAGCCCAATCGGGTGTTGGGGCATCAATTTCTCGTTTGTAATACAAAATGACTGAAAATTGCAAATTTCACAAGGCTATATTATCCGCATTTTACAACATTTCGCAACGAAACTTTGGAATATTACTAATTTTGTGATGCTCTTTCAAGCTGTGATGAAATTTTTGTCCAGATCAAAATTTAGTCTATAATGCAAATGATCCATTGGCACAACACTTACTACATCCAGATGATCTTGATACGCGGAAAAGTACTGGCACTAGTTGTCAAATAGAAATCCATTTTATGATTAAAACAACTGAATATCTCCTGTAATATACTTTATTTCGATTCCATATTTTTGTCAGAGCTAGAGTTCTCATAACCAAACATAATTACAAAATTTCAACTAGTTTCATAAAGAATAACGAAAGATATAATTGACTGAATACATCAAAATGGATTTCTATTCGGACAACCCTTTCTGAGCGCTGATTGGCTAAAATACGAACACGAGATCACCTGGATATAGCGCCAATCCAGTCACGATCCAATGATGGCAGAAAGCGAGTAGCGTTATTTACGAAATTACGCGAGAATGACCCTTGGTACAACACTTACCTCATCCATAGCGCCATCCAGTCATGATCCAATGATCGCGGAATGTGAAACAAATTACGATAAAATAAAAACGTTATAGCCACTGTCATACAGAAAACCACGTGTTTCCAGCTGTCAAAGATGTCAAGCCCATCAAAAGGTTATTTACAAAAATAAGCGACGCCTGTTCGTCTAAAAAAACCACTTTAAGTACAGCTGTACAGGCGCCAATTTCTCATTCTGGTAACGGCGTGCTAACAACAAAAGTGCTTAGTAAAACCCAGTGACACACGATACAACTATCGCGCATGCTTCGACGTCTTAAGGCCAGTAGTTTATACAGAACGACTATCGTATATGTGGCAATTGTATAAAAAATAGCATATTTTTTATACAATTTTAGCATATTTTTCAAGCTCGCCCGGTGTGGATATGCACTCAGAGTAACATCACAAACATGTATAAAAAATAGTTCACAACAAATTCGGAATATTTGTTTCGCAAAAAGGTACTATTACATCACAAACGTTTTCTTACTTTTCAACTTCTATGTCTGGACATTTCATAGCCAGAATTTGTTATAATTGAGATATTTACTACAAGTAATTTACATTACAGGCAAAAATTTCTGACAAATGCTTCCTGGTTTTCCAACATTTGGCAAACATATGGCCAGGGAACAATGCTTCCCGGCTTTCCCACCATTGGTTTCACAAAAAGATGTATTTGGGAAACACGGCTAGAAAACAATGTTTCTTGGTTTGTCCAGCTTCGGGAACCGTTATTCGCTGGGAAACAACGTTTTCTGCTTTGCTCAGCTTTGGGAAACCAATTTTTCCTGGTTAACACAGCTTTGGGAGACATGTCCAGAAAACAATGTTTCCTGGTTTGTCCAGCTTTGAGAAACATGACCAGGAAACACTGTTTCATGTTTTCCAGCCTTGAGATTTGATGTTTCCTAATTTGCTCACCTTTGGGAAACATCACTATAGGAAACAATGCTTCCTTGTTTACGCAGCTTTGGAAAACATGACTAGGAAACAAGGTTTCCTGGTTGTTTGTCCACCTTTGAGAAATATGGCTAGGAAACACTGTTTCATGTTTTCAACCTTGGGATTTGATGTTTCCTAATTTGCTCACCTTTGGGAAACATCACTAGGAAACAATGCTTCCTTGTTTACCCAGCTTTGGAAAACATCACTAGGAAACAAGGTTTCCTGGTTTGTCCAGCTTTGAGAAACATGGCTAGGAAACACTGTTTCATGTTTTCCAGCCTTGGGAATTGATGTTTCCTTATAATTTGCTCACCTTTGGGAAACATCACTATAGGAAACACAGCTTCCTTGTTTACCCAGCTTTGGAAAACACGACTAGGAAACAATGTTTCCTGGTTTGTCCACCTTTGGAAAACACGACCAGGGAACAATGTTTGCTAGTTTGTCCACCTTTAGGAAACATGGCTACGAATCAATGTTGCTAGGAAATAATGTTTTCTAGTTCGTCCACTAGCGGGAAACAGAACTAGGAAACAAATTCCCCCAGCAATGTTCTCTAATTTGCCCTTGATAAAATATATGCTACATACATCATGCACCATCCAAAATTGTGGTTTTCTACTACATCTAAAACGCGTCACGTATTTCATGAACCATGCACAATAATTTAGCGGTTTTTAGCCTCGCGTGCGACACGCTTTGTGAGACGTCCAGAAATTAGTCCACCGATAAAAATGATGGCGAGAGCACAGGAGAAAACTATAAAGAAATAATTTCTGCGCGGAGAACTACTTACGACCGAGGCAAGATCAGTCAGAGACTCGGGAACTGGGACCTACAGAAAAATACAAACATCAGTTATGATCATTTTGAAGAGTTTTGTACATGGAAATTTTGAGTGTAAATTTTTTACATTTATTTAGATCTAGAGCAGTTGCGAGGCCTTCTGCATGGTAGGAACATTGAACCATAAATAAACTGGAACGCTAACTGCTATCATGAAGGCCTATGATTTGTTGAAGCCAAAATAGTTTTTCTCAGTTATGAGCAGAAATACTTAACCCCAAACGTCGTGCTATATATCAAATTGAAGCCATTGACAATTGCTATTCGGTGTGGAAATTTCAAGACTTCAGCGACAAGAAAAATATTAAAAAAATACAAAAACAACTGCAAAACGGCAAAGTATCGGCAATTATTTTTGTAGTTTTCAATATTTCCCTTTTAGCTAAAGTCTTGAAATTTCTACACCAAATAGCGTTTTTCAATAGCTTCAATTTGATATATAGCCCAACGTTCAGTGTTGAGTATTTCTGCTCATAACTCAGAAAAACTAAAATGCACTGGCTTCAATTTTCCCCACCGAGTTAGCCTTCCAGTTTATTTATAGTTCAATGGGTAGGAATCGAAGTTGCGGTACTGCGATTCCGGTGCAGCGCACTAGCTACAGTAAAACCCCGCACATAAGAACTTAGATTTTCCAAGTTACCCTAAACAGGTTCTTATGTAAATAGTGCTTACCAGGAAATTAGGCTAAACAGGTTCTTAAATAGGTTCTTAAATAGGTTCTTATTTTCTTAAGAGAAAAGCGACTCATTTTAGGGAGCATATATGATTTACATAAATTATGCACAAATGCACTTAAAAATGACGGTATATATATACACTATACCAACCCTATATATGCACTTTAAAGCTACACTGATTGTAACTTATGACTTAATTTTGACTCTATTTGATAATATAAGAATCTGTTTTGAAATTCTAGCCTGAACAGGTTCTTATTTAAAGGAGTCTAAATAAAATAGTTTAGCCTAACAGGTTCTTAAATTCCAGGTTCTTATATGCGGGGTTTTACTGTAACTGAACTACAGAGTCCACTTGTCGAACTCTAACCACAAGTTTATGTATATATATATATATGTGAGGTGATGCCAATGTGAGGTGTATGGGGGAAATATCAGGAACTCATTGTTGAATGATTTTGTACATGGAAACCCACGACATTCGGCAGAGTGTTGACAGACTCTTTTCACACGAGTCCGTAGCGTGAATTGAAACCACGATCTCAGAGGGGAAATGCACTTGCTCTGACAATAGCTGTTATCGTAATTGAATACGTCTATGCTACGGACCAGCGGTATCTGCATTATTTTAACATCGAGACGAGGCTATAGGGTCATGTTTTGTGTTTTTTGACCCTTTAGCCTCGTTTTCGTCCGTACTTCCACTGAGATACCGCTGGTTCGCCGCATTGTTAGACGTAATCGTTCTATCGAGTGAAATTCCCACAATCCTAATATGATAATATATACATAAACAAGTTATACCATTTTATGCACACCACCTAATATATACTGTATGTTCTTTTGTATATTCTTTTAGCACTAAGAGGACTATGGATTTTGTGAGTTTTGATCTATGCATATAATCAAAAATCTCCTAAGAATGAATAAATTTTTAATATATTACCCCAAAACCTGTC